CCCCAAAACCCCAAAACCCCAAAACCCCAAAACCCCACGAGGAATTAAAATAGGGATGTGATAAAGTTAATAAAAGGAGATAAATCGATTTACAGCAATGGAAAAACTATCTGAAATATAAAATTTTGAGTCACCTTCTAAACTCTGCCTGTCAACTCAAAGAAAAGTAAATGAGCCTTCAGCATGTTTACCTTTTACTTTAGATAGATTAGCTGGTCTATAAATACTAGAGCTAGGTTGTTAGAAATCAAAATTTCAAGATATTATGCTTTGAAGAGTTGCTTAGTGTAGAAGATCAGATAAATTCATTTTTCGATCAATGCACTCACATCTAAGTAATTATAATTCATTTTAACCTTTTCTTTAAAATAGGATGATGCATCTCTTAATAGTCTTACAATGATATGCCGACTGCTGAATGAGGACCCGGTGCTTTGCTAAATTAGGAAGGACAATAATGTCACGTATGAGAGTTCTTCTCATAGAAGTGAATCATCAATAATGGAGGACTAGTCACCGATTGTAAAGGGAAGTTACAATAATTCCGCAGCTAAAAATGGAAATTACTCACATCACAAAAATAATCAAGAGGAAGAATACTTTCAAGGAGAAAATAGTACTAAGAAAAAAAAGTAGGAAGTCTAGCATAGAAAAAATAATAGATTAGATGACTCACTTGAATTAAAGGAATTCGAGATTGCCAAGCAAGACAATTCACATCATACAAGTAAGCAAATGAGCATGCTAGTAAAAGATGATAAACAATAAAGAGATATTATTGAACTTGCTGATTTGGAAGAATCTAATTTTTTGCAAAGGCATCATAGTGGGGATCTTAATGGGAAAGAGGAGATCAAGTTATCATTTTTTGAGTAGGAATTCGAGAGACTTTACGAATCTACAGTATTCTTCTATGGGGAGTATAGGATTGATGAGGCAGGAGTAGAACTACAAAAGCTGAGATAGTTAATAGCAGAACATACCAATGACGATGTAATTTTAAAATATATCTTTAATTATAATAAGAATCAAGAAGAGATGAAGAGGCTATAAGAAGAAAGAATTAATACCCAAACAGTGATATTGAATCTAGAAAGAGATATGAAAGAGCTCGATGCTATTATGACTGCTTTAGATGATCTGAATAATCTTGAAACTGTTCTTTAAGATAAGAAAAAGGGCATTCTTATGCAAGTAAGAAGGCAAGAAGGGTAGAGAGGAGTAACTTTCAGATATGAAGCCAAGAATCTTAAAGTTCATCTCTTTAATTTGCTAGCTTTGCTTAATGAAACAGACCTATATGATTTGTGGTTCCCTCAATGCAAAAAATCCTATACTGTAAAATTTGATCCTACTTATATTCATACATTAGTTAAGGAGACTCGCAAAAGCAACAAAAATGGCATACGTAGAATTCTTCTTTCCTTTTCCATTTACTAATCGTGAGTCAGTTATGTATGGATTAGGAGCAAACAGAATGAAAACGCATGGATCAATTGTGATAATGGCAAAAAGTTATGGTTTGATAAATGATTAGTAACTGAGAGATTAAGTGGGAGAGTTAGAATTCAAAGAAAGGAAGGCTGGACTAGTAGAGATGGAGGTGCATCAATATGGTTTTGAAATTACACCTACAGCTCCTGGAGAAATAAGTATAAGAGCAATTATGCTTTTCAATCCTAATATGGACAAAATGCCAGAGTCACTTGTTAACTGGGGTACCAAGAACTTCCTTGAATATATGATTAATAAAATGATTAAATTTAGCAAGGGATTTTAAGGTACAAGCTATGAAAAGAGACTGAAAAATTCAGAAAACACAGAGTTCTACATTTGGATTCAAACATACATTAGAGATTTTTATCAAGAAAGATGCTGGGAATATAATCATTATACTTTTTGAATAATTCATATATTTCTAGTCTAAAAAATTGGCTTATAATGACTTCTGGGGTTTTGGGGTTTTGGGGTTTTGGGG